GCTCCCTGGAGAGGAGCCGGCAGGGCCCCTCCTCTGCGGAGCCTGTACTCTGGCTGGTGGCTTCAGGGGGCAGGCATTCCGCCTTTCCTGTCCCCCACCCTAAGGGAGTTGGCCTTGCATGCCTCCTATCCATGGCTGCCTCTATTAGGGGCTGTCACTGGGAGACAGGCAGGGCATGTGAGTTGCAGGAGCTGAGGGTAAGAGGGGCTGAGAGCTTGTGGTATGGACGGGGAGCAGGAAGGTAGGGTGGCCAGAAGAATGGAGAGAGCTGGGAGTGAGAGCAAAGGGGCACAGGCAGAGCTGAAGCGCAGCATCACCTCAACATAAATACTGGTATTTCAGAATAGAATAGCGCTGCCGTTTCCCGAAGCATCAGAATACTGAGGTCCGATCTTGCAATCTCTAAGTTGCATTCCTGGGCGCCAGCTCTCTGGTATTCTTGCACAAGACCATTTTCTGGGCTGCATTTTCTCACTTGCAAAAGGAGGAAGTTGAGGGTCAATATATCCAAGGAATATATGAGCTCTAGCTCAGGAGTGTAGGATTTGGAGAATCTGGAATTGTCAGTTTATGGGGCTCTAACTGGGACACTTCTAGCATTCCTTGACTCTCAGCTCCCAGCCAGGGCTGTGTGGATGCGTGGTTGTGTGATTCCGACATTCTGTGACTTTAAGATGCTGAGGCTCTAGGAGCTGGAGATACGGACATTCTGTGAATATAGGATTCTAGGATTTGATGGTTTGATGATTCAATGATTCTAAATGGGGCTGCTGGGAAGAGCTGCAACCACCTGCCTTGTTAATGTCAATGTTCAGTTATTAAAAACATAACAAGAAGCAAGGGAGACGGATAGCTCAGGATGGTGGGCGCTCCCTCCACCCACAGGGAGGGAGGACAGGACAGGCTGGGCTGGCATTAGTGGAGAACGGAGACCTTTTCAATCTGGATCACACAGGCTATCCTCCTGTCACAACAGAATTGGTGTGTGTACATTCAAGAGATCTGCCACTCCCAAAGCTCTCAGGGTAAGGGGGTCATTTCCTTTAATACTGGCCTCTATTCCTTAACCATTTCAGAATGTGGTGGAGAGAGGAGAAACTGCCCTTTCCTCCCAGCCCCCAAAGTCTCTGGGTAGAAATGGCAGCAGTGGAGGAAGGAGAGGCGTGCTTACCCCCGCCCGTTCCCTGACAGCCTGATGGGGAAACAGGACATGAATACTTCCTGGACACAAACATGGAAACGCATGAACCGCCTGTGAATTCCCCATGTCCAAAGGCCTCAGACAAGGGCAGAAGCCAAGACAGCCAGTGAGGTCCCATCAGCATGCCCTGAGTACAGGCTGAGAAGGGAAGACCCTGTCCTTGCCCTGAGGATGGCAGTGAGAAGGGGTCAAGGAAGGGAGTCCCAGGTCAGGGACTGGAAGTGCTGGCAGGTCCTCCCCTGTGTGCGAGGCCACAGCCCAGTCATCCAGTGCTTTGCTGCCTCCTGGGTCCTTCCTATGGCCTCAGCACCCAGGCCAGAGTTTGGGAGGGGTCCAGGCTGCAGGGGAGGGTTTCCTTCTAGAATGTCCACCCCTTTGGGTCCTTGGAAGCCCAGTACAGCTGCATGGGTCCAAAGGCTTCCCTGCCTGGTAGGTTCGCAGACCAAAGCTGGACCTGGTCACACGCACAATGGGGCCTTAAATTAGGCTTCCTGATTCCCAGTCCTGGGTGTTCCTCATTGCCCACAGCCTCCCCCACTTTCCCTGGGATACCTGAGGAGCAGGCTTGGCGGGGGAATCAGGTTAGGGAGTGGAACTTCTGTTCCTCACCCCTCCGTCTTCCTCCTCCCGCAGGACAGAAGCAGGTGTGGCGGTGACAGCTGCCCCCAGTCCTCCACAAGGCTCCATTGTCCCTGGCAGGGAGCCTATCCCCAGCCGCAGGCTGCAGTGTGCCTCCCCAGGCCCTCCTGTCTTTACTCTGCCACCTTCTCCCTCCTGCTGCCCTTCCCTTGTCTCATCTCTGCTTGCCCTAGGGCCCTCCCCATCCCTGTGAGGTCTCTGTCTCTGGCTTTCTCTGGATTTAAGCCTCTCTCCAATGAAAGTTAGATTTGGAAGGGCCCTAGGGGATCACCAAGTCCAACCCTTTTATTCTTCAGATGAGGAGACCAGCTCAGAGAGGGGCAGGTCCTGTCCAAAGCTGCACAGTAGGCTGGGGCAGAGCCCAGTGCTATGCTCGCTTCCACGCTGGGCCATGGGTGCACACTGCCCTTGGCATCAGGCATCCAGGGTTTGAGATCTGACTGTGACGATCAGCGTTTAAGCACACAGGCACCTACAGAAACTTGGGGTGGGGGGATCTTTTCTCCTCAGCCGTTTTCCACAGCCCTAAGCTGCTCTCTCTTCCCCTTCTTTGCCCAACTCCTCTCTTTCACTATCCCTGCTGTCTGCTGACCCCTGCCTCTGGCAGACACTGTACTTGGGACACAGACTAGAGCTCAGGCCTCAGTGACTAAGATGTGCACCCATGTGCCCAGACACAGACACACAGACTGTACAAGTGTATCATGGGATCTATAAATCCCAGCTGAAAACTGATCAGACCACCAGGAGGCCACTCTGGAACCCAGTGTCCTCTTCCTGTCAGGGCTCACATACCTCCTCCAGGAAGCCCCTTAGGAGCGCTGAATATTGTTTCTGTCCAGCTAGCCCCTTTGTGACAGCTGAGCGCTGTGAGCCTAGGTTCCTTCTCTGTGACCTGAAGGGTAAGACTGAGTCCCCCATTGAGTCCTGGGGCCACTCCTTCAGTGTCTCCAGGAGGGGCTCAGCTTCCTGTCGCTGGGTGGGGAGAGCCCTGAGGTCCTCACAGGACATGGGACAATGGGGAGGCGGTGACAGATGAGAGGCTGAGTCTTCCCTAAAGCAGACTCCACCTTCCCCTGACCTCCCTGGCTGGTGGCTTGGACACAGCCCTGGCCTGTTGGCCCCTTAGGACTAGGGTCCTGGTGTGACCCCACAGTGCAGAGGTCTGGGAATCAAAGCCCTGATTTTCTCTAACTGGCGGCTGTGGAGGCCAGGCCTCCAGGACACCGGTAGGCTATTCGCGGGTTGGTGCAGATTCCAGCGTCCGGGAGGGGTGAGCTGGGCTTCTCTGGCCTGGGGGGGCCTGTGTGGGGGAAGCGGGAGAGTGGCGAACACAGGCTGGGGTGGGATTACGGGGAGCTGGGAATACCTAGCTGAGACTCCCTCCTCCTAGCCACTTTCCCCACACTTGAAATTGGCTGGAGAGGGAACCAGAAGTTGGGTGGGGTTGGGAAGGGACAGGAGCCAACAGCCAGCCTCTGGGCAGTGCCTCTGCTGGGCTAGGGGGCAGAAACCTGTCCTGGGAGTGGTGGGAGGCCTGACAGGGGAGTGAGATTCTCCAATGAAATTGGCATTCCCTCCTCTTAGGGGAGGGGAGGGGGCCGTCTCCAGGCTGCTCAGCAGGTAGCCCATCTGGATGTGGGTAGAAAAGAAGACTCAGGCTTTGTGGATTAAAGGGATGGCCCTGGGGTCAGGCACTTATATCGACCCTCGTCATTTCCTCTGCGGATGCGGCTAGGTGAGTGGGGTCGTTGCACAGAGGGAAGGAACAGGCCAGGGCCAATGTGTACCAGGCCTACAGGAGAGTCAGGCACATGGACGACCTCATCACACCCTGGCTGCAGTCAGCCCCTCATAGAGGCCCAACCACACGCCACTGTCACTGCGGGAGATGGCCACACCCAGACCATCACCCCACACACAGACCCAGTCTCCCTAGATGACACTCAGACCCAGCTGCAGGCACACCCAACTGCAGGATGCAGGGACATGTGGGACAACCAGACACCCTGCCACAGCCACACTGCCAGCCTCCGCACACCAGGTGCAGCTCCGGTCACCCCTACGGTCAACCCAAGGAGAGCCAGAGATTCCAGCAGTCATGGGAGGCATCCAGTGCCCAGGCGAGAAGAGGGGGACACCAACAGGGAACCCAGAACCTCCCCCATGCCAGACTGTGCCTCCCCACAGCTCACAGAAGGAGCGCCTCAGGCTGTTTATTTCCTAGCAGGGACTAGCAGGGATGGGTGTCTCATCCCCCTCCCCCTCCCGGTCCCCACCACACGATTCTGAAGCTGCCAAATCAAATCAGCCCCTGCACCCGCGCCAGGCTGGCATGGCGGCCAGCAGCTGACGGGAACGAAGCCAGGCTCAGAATATCCCGCCGCCTGTCCGATGCCTGGGTAGGCTTGCTGGGTGGGGGTGGGGAGGGGCAGGAGCCTGGCAGCCGGGCCCTGGGCAGTGCTTCTGCAAGAGGCTGGGGGTTCAGAATGCCGAGGGGTAGTGGGCTTCTGGAGAATGAGTGAACAGGTCCCTGTGGTATCTCCAGGCTGCTGTGGCAATGTCTCCACTGCCAGCATTCAGTGAGCTATGGAAATGGTACTGGTGGGATACAGGTTGGGGGTCTGATCCAGTCCAGATGACTGGGCACTGGGCTGGGGTGGGGGCTCCCACATGCGCTCACATTCATTCTGGGCTCACAGTGCCCAGGCTGGAAGCCCCTTGGTTGTCTGTGAGTAAAGACCCAACTCACTGTGGAGGCCCAGTGACTATGTGAAGTGGACATTACTGATCCCATTTTACAGATAGGGAAACTGAGGCTTAGAGAGGGCTAGTGGAGTTCCCTGGAGAGAAGCAGAAGTGGAGGAGGCCTCAGAAAGGGTAAAGAGGTGGTCATTTTCACTCCTTAGGAGTCCTAGGTGTAAAGAAGGAACATGGCTCTGTTCTCAGAGTCAAGGAACAGAGGATACAGCAGAGCCAGAGGTGCCCATGGGAAGCAGAGAACAAGGAGGGAGTCTGGAGAGAGAGCTGGGTGCAACCAGGCAAGGCTCCCTGGAGGAGGGGGCCATCCATGGGCTTGCTGGGGACTGATGGGGGGCAGGCTGGGGAGAAGGGGAGAAGGCCTGGCCAGCCTCAGCCCCTGACCTTCTTGTCTTTGCAGCCAGCCTGGACCCCCTTGCAAAGGAGCCAGGACCCCCAGGGAGTAGAGACGACCGACTGGAGGTGAGAGCTCAGTGGAGGGAGAAGTGGGTGGGCTTGAGGGGGTGGGGCGCAGACTGCAGATCAGTCTGTGTGGTGCCCTCCCCCTTGGGAGGACGGGGAGGCTGGAGTCGCATCCCAGCCCCAGCCCTCCAGACTAGGATCACCCCCATATCAAGACCATCTCCCCTCGCCCTATATATCCCCAACCTGGAAGTCCTCCAACAAGGCTTCCTCCTCTCAACTCACCTGGGAATCACTCCAGACTCCTTCCTTGTCCTCCCCACCTTCACCCAACAATTCCCTGCTGATTATCTGCCCTGAGTATTTCCCAAGTTCCTCTCCTCCTCCATTCCACCGCCTGCTTGGGTCCAAGCTCCTGCATCTTTCCCTTGGGCCACTCACTGGCTGCCTGCTTTCAGCTTCCCCCATCCTCCACGTGCCACCAGGAGGCTCTTTCTAATGCACAGACCTGAACTTGTCACTCTCTTGCCCCAGAATCCTCCATGCTCCCCATTCCTATGTCCCCTTTGCAACTCCAGCCTGGCTACTGCCCCCCTTCATCTATTCCTGCCTCCCCCAAACCACTCCCGCTGGCCTCTTTCCCACTCAGCTTCCTAAATTCTTCGGGGATCAGCTCTAGCCTCCTCTCCTCTGGGAAGTCCTCCCTACCCCTTGACCACGGGACCAAGCTCGCTCACGCTCCCTCCTCTGAGCTCTCGTGCCCTGGCAGTCAGATGCCGGGGCACTCTGCTGTCTGTCGCCCACCGTGCTGTGCCGTGAGCACCCTGTTTTCTCTATCATGTGACTCTGTGTGTCTGGCTTGTCGTCTTCTCTGCACTGTGAGCTCCTTGAGCCTGGGCACTGCGCTTTCTTTATTCCTGAACCTTCTACCACCCTTGGGTAGGTACTGGTGCAGGGCTCAGCCAGTGCATTTCTTTCCCTGTGAGGGGTGCCATCCCCAACCCCTAACATGCCTTTGGGGTGCCTCATAGGAATCTTCAGTGCTCGAAGGGGCCTTGACGAGCACATAAGGTGGGGTGCTGATGTTGAAGATAGGCATAGAGGAGTGGGTCTGTGTGTGTGTGTATGTGTGTATGTTGTGAACTGGACCCACAGCCAGAACAGCATGAGTCTGCCCAGGCCCAGCTGAGCCGGGGAGGAAGATGCTGCTTGTATCAGCCCTCCTGTGTGCCAGGAGCTTTCCACACCTCCCTTGTTTAATTCTTACTGTACCCCTATGAGGCAGGGACTGCTATGATTCCTGTTTCACATTTGGGGAAGCTGAGGCCCAGTGGGGTCATGCTGCGAGTGAATTGGGACAGAGCTGACAGTGGAGCCCAGATGTGTCCCAGGCTCGAGGCTCACTCTTTCCCATCTTACTAAGATGGGAATGAAGGTGCCCACACAGGGCCTGGTATGCAGAAGGGGCTCAGCACGGGTTCCCTGCTGGGACACAGGGCCAAGACCTGAGAATGTGTTTCCAAGTGGGGCTGGGCCCTGCTGCTGGGAGTTGGCAGAGGGAGACGGGAGGGGAGGGCCTGGAAAGCCATTATTAATTTATTTACTGCCATGGCATTCCCCATGGGGCGGGGCTCCCCCCAGAGCTGGGACAGATGGTGTTCCTGGGAGCCTGCAGTGTCTCAGCAGCCTCGGCCACCTGCCAGGAAAGACTAGATTTGTCATCCACTCAGGGAGCCTTGAGAGGAGGGGGCTTGGGCAAAGCTGAGACCCTCCTGGGCAACAGGGGCTGTGCCCAAGGGAAGGAGTTGGCTCCAGGCTCCCTGCTTATGCCTCTGGAGCAGCCCCCTCTGCCTAGGCCATTGAGTTGCCCTCTGCAGGTTCAAGTTCTGCCCCTTGCTCAGCTCCACTGGCCTCATCCTTCCCCTGAGGCTGCCCTGGGTAGGCCTCACCTGCTCCTACCCCTGTATTCTCTCTGCCTTTCTTCCGGCTGGGTCCTGCTGCCTCCTCCTTCTGACCAAGGATCTTGGGCCATGAGCTCCTCAGCTCTCAGCTCTGTCCTGACCCCATCCCCACACCTGTCCCAAAGACAGTTTGTGTCTGCCTGGACTCCTGGCAGGGCCTGCTATATTTCTGGGTTCTGCCAGCATCCCACCCGAGTGCCCAGGCCCATGCTCTGCTGTGAAGAGATGGGCTGCCTGCGGGGATGCCCCTGACATCGGGAGAGCAGGACTGGAGAGAGTGGGGACCTGAGGGCATTGCTCAGACCATAGGGACAGCTGGAGGGAAAAGGAGCTGGGGAGCCTGAGGAGGGGCCTTCCTGTCAGGGTGGAGGCTGGGAAGCCAAGATGGCCTCATGTAGTGGACAAACCACAGGGTCAAATGAGCATGGGTTCAAGTCGCAGCTCCCTTGCTTCCTAGGTGTGTGGCCTTGTGCCTGTCACTTAACCAGCCCGAGCATCAGTCTCCTCACCTGCCAGGCAGGGATAAGAACCTCTGTCATTCTGGGACATAATTACTGTTATTTGACATTAGCACAACAGAGCTGTTGGGAAGTTACAAAGATTGTATGTGTGGGATGCCCAGCCCAGGCCTGGCTCATGGCAGGTCCTTGGGGAGAGCTAGCCTCCTCCCTGTTTCCCTCGAGGGTGCCATCCTTGGAGCCAGGACTAGGCTGTACCCCCATGAGACAGAGTGCTCTGCAGGGCTGGGCTGAGGCTTATGGAAGTTCTATGGGCATGGCATGCTCTCCTGGCACTGGCTGGGCGGCAGCCAAGAAAGCAGAGCTGCCAGCACCCATCCCTGCCCAGAAGGCGTGTGTTCAGCACACCCTCCTGAGATGGTTCCCTGGCCCCTGTGCCAGCAGCTGGCTTGGAGGAGGGGCTCTTGGCATCCTCCTTCAGGGCCAGGCTCCGCATCATTACTGTCTCTCTGGAAGTTGGGGCTGAGGCAGTTCAAGTTGGTGAACTGAGCATGCTGAGCAATGCCCTCTTTGTGATGGCTCTCAGGGCCCAGATGGGGGCTTGGGAGCCCTAGCTGGGGCGGGGGAATGGGGAGGGGTGACGTGGATGAGGGCACTGGCGTCCAGATTAAATACCGAAATGCACTACCCAACACCAGCTCCTCTATTGCTGCCCTTGGGACAAAGACCACACCCCTTGGCAGGGCATTGCTGGCCTTGCCTGCTGGGTACCCTCATGCCCCCTCGTGTCCCCTCATGCCCCGAGACAGCCAGCACTCCTGCCACATGGTTGTGCTCACTCCCAGCACACAGCAGCTCCTCCCACCTCCTGCCTTCGCTCACAGTGACCACCTGTCTGGAAGGCCTTCCTTTCTTTCTCCACCTACTCTCTTTTCAAGGCCCAGATGAAATGTCACCTCCTTTGTGAAGTTCTCTCAGACTGGAAGTTCCCTCCACCTCAGGCTGAGCCAGTGTCCTCCCTTCCCCAGGCACCCACAGTCCCCATTTCTCTGAGCCCACTGTTGGGAAACCTGTTACCCCACGTGGTGCTGTGGGTAATGTATCCTTTATCCTTCCCCATGGGAACGTGAACACCCAGGAGGCAGAGACTGAGGCTGAGTCTCCTTTGTCTCTTTTGGGCCCATGTGGTACCTGGTATAGGCCTAGTATACAGTAGGTGCTCAATAAATACTTCTTGAATGAACAAGAGTGGCTGTGAGTAGGACTGGAGTAGTTCCAACAAGGGGCAACCTTGGAGACTTGGAGGAGGCAACCTTGGAACTTTGAAGGATGGAGAGGGTCAAGGCCACCGACGGAAGAAGCCAGAGATCAGCTAGGCAGTCAGAGAGGTCCATGTCATCAGCTGCTGACAGCATCCACTGAGGACAATCAGGACCAGAGCAGACTGGGAACAAGCAGACAGAGGAGTCTGGAACAAGGACTCAGCCCCAGAGGGGGCTGCAGGAGGCTGGCTCATGCTTAGAGCCTGGCTCCAAAACATTCTGCCCCTGAGTCCTGGGCTGAGGAAGGCTTGGTGCCAGAGTCAGGGTGAGGCTGAGGCCACCAGTGGTGAATATGTGGCCCCAGCTGTGGGGGTAGCGCTAGGCAGGAGCGGGAGCCAGGCTGGAGGGGGTATTGCCATTGCCACTGGGGGTGGAGCAGGGCTTCGCTGGGGAAGGAGCAGCTTGTGTGAGAGTGTGGGCAGGAGTGGGAGGGAGAAGGCTCCCAGTACAGGAGCACAGCTTACCAGCAAGGAGCCCTGGGTGAGGCTGGAGGTGGCCCTGCAGGCAGCACTTTTCAGGCCGCTGTCTAACATTCCTGAGCGAGAGCTCCTAACTGCCAGGTGTGCTGCTTTCTCCTGGATTCTGTACATCAGGAGCCAGTGGCCTCTGTGATGCCCCACGGCCCCGAGGGAGCGGCTGCCAACAAGTTGGCCATAGCATCTGGCATCCATGGAGGCCCTGAGGCCCTGTCATCTGTCCGTGCCCACCTGTCGGTCTGCACAGGCCCAGGGCGTGCAGGGACCTGGGGCCAGGGAGGTGGTTGGAGCTGCCACTCCAGCCTGTCTCTCTGCCTGCCCATCCACTGTCCACACCCCTGGCTGACTGCGTAAAGGGAGAGATGGGCATCGCAGGTCCTGCCATCTGAGGAGCCTAGTCTGAAGGAAGATGCATTAAGCACCAGGAACTTATACCCAGAGAAGATACACACTGAGCTAGGGGAGGCTTGCAGGCAGGCCTAGGCCCAGGGAGGGCCAGCCTCCTCCAGAGCCTGGAGTTGAGACTCAGAGAAAGGCAGGACTGGCTCAGAGGCGCAGGCAAGTCAGAGGCAGTGCCCAGGCCAGAAGCTGCAGCCCGGGACTGAGGTTCCTACAGCCGGCCCCGCCCCCACCGTCCTGCCTGGCCCTTGGCTGTAAACACTGAGAGAACAAGTTCCGTTTCCCGGGAAATATTTATCTCAGGCTGTGTGAGGAGCGTGTGCGCTGGCCTCCGTGTGTCCTTCCTGCAGGCTGGCCGGGGCAGGAGAGGGGGTTTGACCGGGCCCTGGTTGGGGCAGTCCATGAGGTCAGGAGGGAAGGGCGTGCCAGAGGCCGCTGCCTAGA